CGTTTTAATGACCCGGAAGGTGGGTGTGAACAAGTACAAGCAACTCCACCTAGTGGGGAAGGCCAGAACTGCAGGGAGGAGGCACTTGACAGTGACTGCTTCAGACTGCAGAAATCCTATCCATGCCTTCCTCAGTTCCTGTCCTCACCCAGGAGGCTTGCCCAGGAAAGATGGTAGGGCAGGGAGCTGCAGGGCTCTTCTCGTGCTCTCTACTCTGCCCTGTCCAAATCATACAAATTATATGAATTGAGAAGTCTCATCTTGCCTTCTTCCAGTATTTATTCTTAGTTCCTTTGTTTACTGGGCCATTCACTTATTGATTGGTTAATTGTGTGCTGTGCCCCTAACATGTGCCAGGCCTGGGGGATAAGGCTGGAGGCCTGATGCTGACTGATACTCAGTCCCTGTTCAAGGGCTCATGTGCAGGGGGAAGATAGCCAGAAAAACAGGTGGTTAACAGGAACACTAAGAAGGGCTGAGGCAGCCCAAGGAGTGGCCAGGTCTTTCCTAGACAGGAGGAGAACTTATAATACAGTTGGGCCACCTATATCTTTGGGCAAGGGTTAAGCAGGAGGAAGTGTCCTAAGAGGTGTCCCCTTTACTTGGGGAGTACCACTGGCTTCCCTAGAACTCCCACTCACCAATGCCTTTCCTTCTTATTTCAGATGAGCCCCAGGAAGGACAACTCGGAAGCAACTTTAACCCGCAGGTCAGGGGCCTGGAGGAGCCTCTGGGTCTCTTTAGTTGGTTCACATTCAGACCATGTTGACTGAGCATCTGCCACCTATCCTCCATGTGCCAGGCTGTGCCATAGAGCCTGAGGGGGAGGGTGCAGTCTTTGCCAGGAGGCCCAGATCTGGCAGGAACACTGGATTAACATGAAGAACTAATGCCAGATGAGATAGAGCAGGGAGGAACCTGGGAGGGCTTCCTGGAGGAGGCAGAACTTGGGCAGAGCATTGAAGTTAGAGGAGGGTTTAGTCTTGAGGTGTAGGGATGGGGAGGGATAGGAAGGCTTTCCATGAAGAAAGTGATGAACAGTGCAAAAAGCGGAAGCCATGCGTCAGCAGGCCTGGTGTGGGGGGCCTGGGAATAGGGATGTTTCACAAGCACCCCTATGCCTCCTCATGTTGATGCAAGTTGTCTGAGGATTATGCTTTAAAAAAAGAGAAAGAAATAGGACCTGAAAAGCAGTTGGGTTTATGTGTTAGGAATTTCATTCACTCATGCTGCATCCATCTGCCCTCTAAACATTTACCGAGGCCCTGGAATAGGGTGCAGAGAGTACAAAGATGAATAAGACTCAGTTGCTGCCCTCAAGAGACTCATTGCCTCAGGGAAGAATGGGACTGTCAAACTGACAAGAACTACCCGGCAGAGGGGTGCAGGGACAGGAATAAAAAGGAAGGGCTTATAGCTTGTTGTTATGTGCCGTTGAGTCGGACCCGACTCATAGCGACCCCTCCTTGCGTTTCCGAGGCAGTATCACTACGGAAGTAG